ATGACGTGGTGGAGGTTGATCATCTCCGTCAGTGGTTCAATGAGTCATGTTTGTGATTGAACACATCGAGCAGGTACATATACACCCCATTGGTTAGATCAGTTGTTACACTGGGAACATGTAACCCTCCTTTGTTTGACAACATAGTTATGCATGTGGATATTATTGGTGCAGTATGTTTATCAGTTTAGATATGAGGTTGGCTAAGCATGTCTATAAATGGCAAATATTCAACATAACTGATGGTGGTACAGGTGTCTCAGAATCACTATCAGAATTCATAATCCACCCACAAAGGGGGCGGTAGGGTGAAGTTACAGTGAGGTAAGTGTGTTGTGTTTTCTCACATAAGAATCAGAACATGACTGATGCATGTGTGTGTATTTTGTGTGTGTATTCAACTGGTGTGATGTATGTTTGAACTTTCAGAAGACCTTGCATAAAATCATGTTTCACAGTTGAAAATAGGACCTCGTTGTAAAAATGCGAGATATATTCCTTTTTAGATCCCTGCATACTTTGTGAGGCCCTACGCCCTCCATCGATATTGGAGTCCCTAGCAGGACATGCCATAGGATCAGGAGTTGGTATACCTCAGCCAGTTGCTGTACCTCAGACAACTGGGGCGTTGAAGGAAGTGGAACACATCAGAAGTGTTTTTCCTGAAACCTGGCTCTGGCAGAATCAGACTGTCAGGTACCACGCTCGCATCATGAGCCATCTGATCATTGTATTTGACATCAATATCTTGTCTGCCCTGCAGCATTCTTTGCCTTGCTCTTGTCAAAATAATTCGCCCCCAGAGTGCAGTGGGATGTAATATGGCGCCAAAGGAACTTCAACACACCTGAAGCGTAGTTTCCGACACCTCGTTTGTAGCAGTACTACCTATCGTATCCTACTGATCAATGTGAACATTCTATGTCACTGAAAACCTGTGTCACGTCTTACTGGCTAATGAATAGCCAACCGACACTAGACCTTGAAGTTCAACATCTGGACATTTGTATAATATGTTGACTAACAGATGCTTCAGTGTCTACGAAAGAAATATTGAGAGTCTTAAAAAATGTCACTGTCTGTATTTGCTCAGGACATGATATATTGCCCAAAGTGAAAAAACATGTACGATTCTTAGACTTTCGATTCTATTTCTCAAACCCATTTCTGATGTTCCCCGCCATGATATCACTGGAATACTGCTAAAAGCAGCATAAAACCATATCCACTCATTCATATACACCGCTAGTTGTTTTTTTTCAGGTGACTCAGCCAAATATGTGGCTTTTCTCAGTAAATTAGCCGTCTCTCATAAATGATTATGAAGAGGTTTATATATGTAATGATCCATTTATGGGCATCAAGACAACACCATACTGAGGAAAGATTTTTTTCATGATATAGGTTTTATTGTTCCGTCAAATATTCATTCAGTTAAAGGCGATTAACTGGATGGAAAGGTTGGGTTCATTGTAATAAAATTCCCGTAATGCAAATGACGTCAATCATCAGATATTTCCAGAAACGATCATTTATAGGGCGCCATCATGTAGCCCGAATATTGCAGAGTGTGGCTTCTAACAAGGAATAAACAAACCTTCTTCTTTGCATAATGTTTCCCTTCCGGCTTTTTTGATGTTATTTTAGGGATATTGTAACCATGGTAATATGAAAGAATCGCGCGGTTATTGCTTTTAAGAAGTACACGCTCCTTCTGCTTGAAGTAACGTATATACACATGTCATCATGCTTCAGTTAGACCCCGTTTCTATAGAAGAAGATTTAGAGCTAAGGCAAGGTTGGCATCACCTGGTGTAATGAGCAGATCGGCACCAAAATTAGCAGCAGTTGAGAGAATACGAGTTGACTTTCCAGAAACCTGGATGTGGACTAATGCCACTACTTGGTAATTAAGGATGTCTCACAGTCTTAATACTTTCTCCCCGGGTCCATGGTTTGAAATAGAGCTGACACATTAACGCTTTTTGGTGGGCGTACATTCTAGGTTAGTTTTTGTCATGACATACGTGACCATTAGATCCTATGGACGAGGAACTAACTTTTGTTCTCTTGGTCAGGTTCTTCTCTATCACTTCTTTGTTAGTTATGACATAGTCACATGTCCAAATGATAGTCCTGGATTGCTAGATTAGTTGTTACCATGGGTAACGCAGTGAATGTGTACTCCAGTGCAGGTACTGCAGTGTCTGTTTGTGAGAGGCTTACCACGCATAAATGATGTTACTTGTAAGATGAAAGGTTTTTGTCCAAGACGCTAGCGCACTGAAGGCATTTTCTGCATAAAAAGTAGAATAGAGTTCCGCTTTATGGCAGCTTTAACTATTTACGATTGAGTATCATAGAACGAGTGATTACAACTCTGTTGCAAATACCTTCATAATGTAATTCCAAGGAGAGTTAAAAAAAGTCACACTGTTCACCGAAATTATTCAAATATTAAAAGTACTGAAGTCACACGGTTCGTAATTTTATTCCAAACCGGCCAGATAAACTGTGACGTTGTCTTAACCCAAATGGGGGGATTTTCTTTTTAGGGAAGGTGTCAAAGGGAATTTCATCGTCACTTATAGGACATTTTTGTGTGTAAAATTTAATTTGTGTCCAGCATTGGTAAAATATTTAAATCTGTAAAGTTGCCATGTATTGTTTACATCCCACGAAACATGTGTAAATGGCTATGACGTTGTGCCATCACCTCCCACACCTTACATGCATCCCATATCTATTCAGTCTACTTCCCTACCGTACTTTCTGTTCAATCGTTGAAATTGATTAACAGGAATATAGTAGAAAACATCCTCATAGATACGCTTATTTCTATACAAGATCTGCGTTATCGGCGTGTTGTCAAGCATTGATACCAGTTTAAGAATCTACATTTGAAACGTCGCTTAATGCAATAACCAAGAAGTTCTTATCCATAGAGTTGTATGTTTCAGTACTAAGTCATCAACTTCAAGAATGCCAATTAAACCAACAGAAATGAAGACACGTTTGTTATGCATTGGTGCTAAAGTAATTAACCAAACCTAATATTAAATACGAATAGGGTTGTAGATTATGGGAAAACCATCAAGTGTCGATCTTTCTGGGTACCTAAAGTCTCCACTTACATCAAAGGACTTTTAAGAACCGTCAGATAAAGTTGCAAAACCACCAATAATCACATGACCACTACCTCTATGGAGCTTGTGCTAATGATTCTTTATACCTGGTTCTAATACTGTTGAACAGTTGTAGCCATACGTCAAAGGTATCACTAAATACGTCACAAATACGCAGTAAAGACGACTCTGTGAGTAAAGGATTTCGTAAATTATGCATTATATGAAAACAACATGTGTTCCATTTTCAGTCAATAACGCCTTCTGTCTTCGTTTACGTCTTCTGTCTATGTTTCTACCGGCCAGGGCCCTTATTCTCGAAACGTTCGTAGCCCTAAGAATTCGTAACTTTTATCGTAGCCAATGTGTTATAAATGGGCTTACGTAGTTCGTAGGGCTACGAACGTTTCGAGAATAGCTAGCCAGGATTAAGTTAAGTGTAACTGATGAAAACCTGCCAGTAATGGAGTAAACAAAAGCATCAATATAATTACAGTTCTATCAGTTTTAGCACACAATGATCTATAAGTGCTCACAATGCTTTCTAGGTTTGGAGGGGCGGTGGGGTAGCCTAGTGGTTAAAGCGTTGGCTCGTCACGCCGATGACCCGGGTTCGAATTCCCACATGGGTACATTGTGTGAAGCCCATTTCTGGTGTCCCCCGCCGTGATGTAGCTGGCATATTGCTAAAAGCGGCGTAAAACCAAACTCAGTCAGTCAGTATAGGTTCGGACAAAATCTGCATTATTCACGTCTTATAATGTAAGTGTGTCTGGTAATAAACCTGTGGCAAATCTAAATGAATGTAGCCTGAAATGCACCCGAAACATACGATTCTGTGAATTTCGATTACATTTCTCAAACCCATTTCTGATGTTCCCCGCCATGATATCACTGGAAAATCGCATAAAACCACCCTGTTCTTTCATGATATGTTAGCGATATCACAGCTGTATAACTAATGTGAAAGAATCATGGGTCCTTTAATTGCTTTTAGAAGAATACCCTCCTTCCGCTTGAAGTAACGTATGTACACATGTCATGCTCCAGTGAGACCCCGTTACGCGATGTTTATGAGAGAAGAGATGGCAATGTTTGCTTTTGCTGATGAACACAGCATATCGGCACCAAAATTAGCAGCAGTTGAGAGAACACGAGCTGACTTTCCAGAGACCTGGATGTGGACTAATGCCACTACTTGGTAATTAAGGATGTCTCACAGTCTTAATACTTTCTCCCCGGGTCCATGGTTTGAAATAGAGCTGACACATTAACGCTTTTTGGTGGGCTGCATCTTAGGTTAGTAACCTGCCCGCTTGTTGTCATGACACACGTAACCGTTAGCTCCTATCTTTTGATCTCTTGGGAAGGTTTCAGATTCTAGTTTTTATCACTTTTTGGTTTTTTTAACATAGTCACACGTCGAAATGACAGTCATGGATTGGGTAGATTAGTTGTTACCCTGGGATAACGCAGTGAATGTGTACCCCTGTTTTGTTTGACTACATAGAGAGGCTGTTGATTTATTTAGTCAGTTATACATATCACTTTGCTTGCGGATACCTAGACATAGCAAATATTCAACATTAGTGATGGTGGGTGTCACGGGTCTACCACTATCAGATTCATAATGTAACCAGAAAGTGGTTGATGGGGTGAAGTTGCACTGAGGTAAGTGTGTTCTGGTATCTCACATACAGATGCTTGTGTGTGTGTGTGTGTGTGTGTGTGTGTGTGTGTGTGTGTGTGTGTGTGTGTGCGTGCGCACGCACGCGAGTATTCATCTGATGTTATACATCTTTGAACAGAAAGACCTTGCATAAATTATGTTTCACAGCTCAATCGTTATCAAAACCTGACATTTATCCATTTTAGATCCCTGCATACTTTGTGACACCCTGTTTCACGGCCCTGTGGCAATGGCAGGCCTGGTAGGCAAGACCGTATCAGGAGTTGGTATACCTCAGCCAGTTGCTGTACCTCAGACAACTGGGGCGTTGAAGGAAGTGGAACACATCAGAAGTGTTTTTCCTGAAACCTGGCTCTGGCAGAATCAGACTGTCAGGTACCACGCTCGCATTATCAGCCATCTGATCAGTGTGCTTGACATCAATATCTTGTCTGCCCTGCACCCATACCTGCAACATGCTTTGCCTTGCTCGCTTATTTAGCTGTTGTCGAAAGGTCTTGCCTCGAAGATGCAGTGGGCGGTATTGGGCGTTGAAGGAAGTTCAACACATCTGAAGCATATTTCTTGACAGATTTAAGGTCCCTTGCTCGCATTATTCCTGATCAATGTTCTTGCATTGATATCATGTCTGTCCTGCATATTTAATACCTCAAAGAATCACCCTGGATGATGGACGAGTTTGTACAGGAAATCTTAGTTCATCTAAATTGGAAATATGTCATTCTGTTGATCAGCATCAGAAAGAAAACACAAGAAAATGCTGACGACCATCAAGTTGTGATTAAATATCACTTTTTTCTCAAAGTCATGGTTCAATTACTGATACACTTTCTTCCCCTTCTGCTCCAGCTGCAGAGAAGCGTGTGGCTCAGAGGAGCTGGGTGATTTGAGCCATTTCTGGCCTGGAGGTCTTGGGGAATAATCAGGACAGAATTTATAACAACATGACATATTGGAAATGGTCGAAGTAAAATAAATCTGTTTACTACTGTGAACTAAATTATCAAGCTGTGGATGTCCGTTTGAACACGGGGTCTACATTCCATCCTCTGTCACACTGCAAACCTGTGCCACATCTCCCATATTCACATAATGAATATCCAACCGACATTCTGCATCTGGACATTTGCAAAACATGTTGACTAACATATGCTCCAGTGCGTCAGAAAGGAATATTTTGTAACCTTAAAAATGTCAGTGTATGTATTTACCCTAGAATATGGTATATTTGTAATCCATACATGACAAAGAATAATGTGCTGCTTTGTGATCGTTGGTTACGGTGACTAACCAACAGACGGATGATACAAACTGTAAGATGGAAGACCCAAAACATCTTGAATTTGACCTACACGTCACATTATGTACAAATGTGTGCCTCTTGGGGAAAAGGTTCCAACTGTACATCAGGGGAAGAGGTTCCTTGACTACAGAGCAATTGTGTTTCGTTTAGATCCTCCCAGGTTCCACGGTTTTCTGATGGGTGGCATTGGGCCTATTGCTCATGTAGTTTCATCAGCAACAAATACACACACCACAAATCCCAAGCCGAACCTGAACCTGCAGGAGGTTGAAAGAGTTAGAAACGTTTTCCCGGAGACGTGGCTGTGGACTAACTCCAGTACAGGGTACTTCAGTACTTGTGTGTGACAGGCTTAACTCGCATAACTGACGATCAGAATACTCTCTCTTCTGCATCTTCTATCACAGTGGAACGAAACTTGAAAAACAAATTCAGTGTATTTGAATTTGAACAAGAATACTCTTTATACGTCAACCTGATGGACTATGACAATCTCATAATCTGATGTATCTAAATATGTCGCTTCCCCCACAGTAGTAGGATTCTCTTTGATATTAACAAGTTATATTAATCGATTAAACATAGGGCTACAAAATGGCCTTCAAAAATGCTACACTGAAATGGCTTTAACGGTATTCAAATGATCTTGGAGTGTGATCCATGACAACTCCTACTTTAAGACGTCTAATACTTCTGTAATTATTTTACTGCCACGCCACAAGGGATGTTTAGAAGTTGCCAATCTATTGTGTAATTTTACAGAATCTTTCACTATATCTCAGTGCCTACCCTAGACCATGTTGTTTTGTGCATGTTTTGTGCATGTTCTGTGGCTATTTTGTACATGTACCAATGTTACCCCGCTAGTGTTCTTTTGTCTGCTGCTTAACGCAATGCCTTTTGTGTTCTTATTGAAACTATATAACATATTTATACCAATATGTATCTCTTAATGTGTGTAGTGTGTGTGTGTGTGTGTGTGTGCGTGCGTGTGTGTAATCAGTTTGTCACCTGTGCGTGATTCTCATGAGTAAAGTTTTGAAAGCGTTCTCACATCGATCGTAAATACTGTTTATATTTTTATACCACATATGCAATTCCCATTAAAGTTTATTCTGTATCAGCGGATAATTGCAGTAAATTGATGTTATATAATCTCCATTCATTTACATATTAACAATGATAGACAATCTGTTTTAATGTGTAGCAGCTCGTATAATCATTTCCTTCATTTGAATACCACAGTACCGATGGTAAAGCTATCATCTCAACAACAGTGCCAGATACCATCACGTCATGGGTGGCCAGCGCCTTCGCCGTCAATACTCAGAGCGGCCTTGGAATTGCACCAACCTCAGCCAAGGTAGGTCACTAATCTACTCCTCCTACGATCTATTAGCAGCGTGTCTTTGTCTTCAGTTCAGTATTCCGAAATATGGATTGTTGTCCCATATCTAAACAGTTCGGTTTCTTTACACACGGGCAAAGAGACCCAAATCCTTAGTGGATAAATGAGACATAAATGTAATAATACTTTTCATGACCACGGATCATCAATGACGATTGATGATGTGCATATACATTCTACTTATTCAATAAATAATACGATCGACACATACGTCCATCAAAGGCAGCCACTAGCTGTCTTCAGCATAGCCGGCGTATGTTTTAAACATAGGAATATAAAAAGCTACATGGAAGTTTTCCCTACATATACACACATATACGTGATGTTCTGTGTTCAGATCCGCGTGTTCCGCCCTTCTTCGTGAGCCTCAACCTGCCGTACTCCGTGACCCGAGGGAACAGCTGGCTCTCAGGCCATCGTCTTCAACTACCTCACCCAGGACGTCGACGTGAGTAGTAGATGTTGACCGTACACGTGACGGTAGTCCTCATCTGCTAAGTAGCGCAACTACAAACTATTGCAAAATGATAGTTTAACTTAGTAAACTTTAGCGTTGCCTCCGATGTACAACCTAGTAATTTCAGTAGTAATATCATTTTGACGTGATTCACAGTGTGTGTATAGTGTACGTTAAATCAGTTTGACCGGTGATATTTGATCAGTTCGTACGTCAGTTCAGAGTGAGATTAAGTAATCAGTTTGTACGTCAGTTCAGAGTGAGATAAAGTAATGACGCATTGACTAAGTACTGAATATGCTGCTGCGATCAGTTTTTGTATCTTTTTGTTTTCTTTTCAACTGTACAGATACGTTTCTATTGCTTTACATTTAATGGGGCGGTGGGGTAGTCTGGTGGTAAAAGCGTCCGCTCGTCACGCCGAAAACCCGATTTCGAATCCCCACATGGGCACAATGTGTGAAGCCCATTTCTGGTGTCCCCCGCTGTGATGTTGCTGGAATATTGCTAAAAACGGCGTAAAACCATACTCACTCACTTTACATTTAATATTACGTCTTCCCGTTATCTTTGGAACGTCATCCCATGCTGTTCGTTATTGTTATTCCCACGCAAGTAAAATTGTTTGATGGACTAATACCATCAATGCAGTAATACTTCAATAGGATTGACTCTTCTGAAGGAAAGGAAGGGAATGTTAGGATGTATATATATATCGTATGATGTGATTCTGAAATGCCACAGTGTAAGGGGGCAGAGTCGCCCGAAGCGCCGCAACAAGATGTCGGGATCCCAAAACATGAGTTAGAATTCCAGATTCGGTCAGATTATGTTCTTTGATTTGTTAATTAAACACGAATGCACGCACGCACGCACACACACACACACACACTAAAATGATTGGTCTTCCTTACAGGCTGTTGTATCCCTCCCTCAATCAAAGGACTACCTGAATGTTGTCATTGATGCCAATGGCCGGGAACAAACAGAATCTAAGGACCAAACACAGACTGTGCATGTAAGTACCCAAGTCCAGTCACAACACAACATCATTTTACCACCGGTAAATATTGGGCAATATTAATGACACTTTCACTACAGACCGCCTCCGTGGTGTAGTGGTTAGAGCGTCCGCCCGGAAAACGGAAGGTCGCGGGTTCGATCCCCGACCGCGTCATACCAAAAGACGTTAAAATATTGTACTTGTTGGTCCCTGCCTGGCGCTCGGCATTAATGGGTACAACAAGGACTGGTCGGCTCGGAGTCAGTATAATGTGTCTGAGTGGGGTATTCATGCTTCACTGCGGCATGGTATCTCAGTGGGCTAGCACTATAAAACCAGCTTCAGTCTGGGCTAGTACAAGCAGCCGCACACACACATACACACGCATGCACGTCGCCATATGAGCGAAATATTCTCAAGCACGACGTTAAACCCAATTTCACCTCACCTCACTTTCACTACAGCTGATTCATATTCAATTTCCCAATGTGTCAAATTGTATCAGTGTTTGGTATTCAGTAAATGAATGTGTATAATCGCCTTTTCTATAGGTGAAAGCAGGCAGCGCCTCCTCAGTATTTTTCCCCATCGTCCCCGCGAGCCTGGGTACCATCGACGTGACCGTCTCCGCCCGATCAACCCTCGCAGCTGACGCCCTAACGAGACAGCTCCTGGTCGAGGTGCGGCTTTGTCTCTGCCATATCATACAAATAAAACAATTACATTGAGAAGTTTGTCAAGTATGAATAAGCAGAGTAACGATAGCTACAAGAGATGAACGTTTATCATTTGCATGTATTTTATCAATAGTGTTAATGCGTTAAACATCAGCAGTAAACTTGTAAAGCGAACAAAATATTTGTAAGTCTGACGTGTCATAGCTTAGGAAACGGTTCTACAGAACAAGAGTAACTTTATGATAATTGTACAATTTTCATTTGAAATGCTGCCTTTACATGTTTTCACCACTCCCTGGAAATTCCTAGATATTACGATGTTCCATGTAATCTCTCTTCAGCCTGAAGGAACCCCCAAAGAGTACAGCGTCCCCATCCTGATTGATCTGAAGCAGGCCACCAGCTTCTCTAAGACTGTCCCCATCACTCTGCCACAGAACGTCGTCTCTGGGTCACAGACTGCTAGAATCACCGCCATCGGTCAGTAATAAAATACAGTGATTCCGATGAATATCCGGTTATATCGCCACAAACTGTTCATGGTAAATCAAGGGTCACAGCGCTGTTACTATAACATCGGGGGTATATAAAGTCCTGTGACACAATCACTCAATTTGTAATATATTGTCACTTTGTCATTGATTTCCATCAGATTCTTGCCGAAATTTCAATTTTTCAGTAGGTTATATGAACAATATTGATTGAGATTTCAGCTACCATAGCTGTTATATATGTTATGTTTCACTACGGTATAAATAGATTGAAGGATACATAATGTAATGAATAAAGTTTCTGTCAATATATAAATTGATATCAATTTAACTCGATAAACCTTTTATTCAACACATGTCTCTCTAACCCTGTCATATTCTACTAGGTGACCTTATGGGTCCAACTGTAAGTGGACTAGACAGTCTTCTGCGCATGCCTACCGGATGTGGCGAGCAGACGATGCTTGGGTTGGCCCCGGATGTGTTTGTCACCAACTACCTGACAGCAACCAAACAACTGACGGGAGACATAGAAGACAAGGCAATCAAGTACATGGAATCTGGTATGTCAACACGCTAATTTGATTGTATGCTTTTGATATTCGCCATTTGTCTGACTGTACCTATGTGTGCATTTGGATTGTCTCTATCCAGCAAGCAGGCAAAGCGAACACATGCTCATATTTGGTAGGAATTGAACTATCGACTCTGCTTATAGAGGATATTTCTTACGCATAAGGCAAGGGTTTTGTTGCTACCTATCCCTCATTTTAACTCAAGAACTCAGTATCCTTTATGTTCACAAGAGAAGGTCCCCCCATCCACTGAGATTAAAATTAGGATTGTCGTAGCGCTATCAACGCTTGTAGGTCCGGGCTTAAATTCGGGCAAATTTCCCTTTCCGATTAATAGATAGCAAAAACAGGGATAATGAAACGCCATAACCTCCAATACCATTCAACTGGCCTAGTTGACACATGTCATCGGTTCCCAATTGCGCAGATCGATGTTCATGCTGTTGATCACTGTCTGGTCCAGACTCGATTATTTACAGGCCACCGCCATATAGCTGGAATATTGCTGAGTGCGGCGTAAAACTAAACTCACTTACTCACTCACTCACAATAGCATTTCAACGAATTTACATGACCACCAATGTCCTCCAGGATACCAGAGGGAGCTGACCTACCAGCACAAGGACGGTTCCTTCAGTGCTTTTGGTGACAGTGACCCATCTGGAAGCATGTGGTAAGTACCGTGATACCTGTAATGAATTACACTTTATCCATTGAGTACATTTTAATTTATTCCCTCACATTGAGCATATATTAATATCATTTGACATGTTTCCTGAGATAAAGCATACACTATTCTTTTTGTAAGTACTTATGCATGACTTTGGCCGTTAATTAGATTGTATTCTGTATTTGCTCCCAGGTTGTCAGCGTTCGTTGTGAAGACGTTCCACCAGGCTAAACCATACACCTTCATCGACGACGATGTCCTTACACGAGCCATCAACTGGATGATTGAGAAACAGAACGCCGACGGTTCCTTCCCTGAACCTGGCCGGATCATCCACACAGCCATGACAGTGAGTGAAGACTCAGATTGTATTGTTATAATGATGTACTGATCTTGTACAAACCCAAGGGAATGATCCTATGCACATAATATCATTTTGCTATCAATCAGACATGACAGTGAGTGAAGACTGAAATTGTATTACACTGTGTTATAATGATATATGAATATGCTTGTACTGGTATTGTACAAAACCCACTCAAGGGTCCTCTACCTGTAATAGTATTTTCCGTACCTAATGGACACACTTGATGATCTGCAATTGCTGAGCGGAGATCTGTTGACATCGTCCTTTACACTCATCGACCAGTTCGTGCGACTGGAACAATCCGTGTGCATGAACCGCGAAGGTCAGGGTTTTCATTGGTGTTGAGCAACCCATGCTTGTCGAAGGAGGCGGCTAACGGGATCGGGTGGTCAGACTCGCTGACTTGGTTGTCATAAGTCATCGCATCCCAATTGTGTAGATCGATGCTCATGCTGGTGATTACTGGATTGTCTGATCTTTACAGACCTCTGACATATAGCTGGAATATTGCTGAGTGCGGTTAAACAGCAACCAAACCAAAACAATCTGCATGAGTTTGTTGTCGATATAGATATGAATATCTTAAACAGATGTACGTTCGTAAAGATTCTAATTATCAAACACTCACGATTTCTTCTCAAGGGAGGGTCAAACAAAGGTGCTTCTTTGACGGCATACGTCCTCATCGCCCTTCTCGAGAACGACGACCTCACAGGGGTAAGTGAACACATATGAAGAAAATTGCAGAATACCTTCGATCTGAAGAAAACGTCGAAAATTTGTCTCAGTCACACATAAACAGAAACAGACAGCCTTTACGTGTTCAGTTGATGCTGTTCTTTTATTTCCTGGACCTATCATTGAACAATACTAATTCCTTTGTGATGATTCGTGAAATCAGGAAGCCTTCATTTTCTTGTAATTTCAACAGAATGTCCAGCAGCGGATAAACGCGGCCGCGGCCAAGGCTGTTCAGTTCCTGGAGAATCAGACCCCGACAGATGACTACTCTCTGGCAATCATCACCTATGCTCTGCACCTTGCTGGCAGCACCCAGGCCGACACGTCCTTCGCCACATTGAACTCTCATGCTATTGTGAAAGGTTGGCATCAATGTTCTTCAACTAAGTAACGTTTAACTCAGAAACGCTATATTAAGCAATGGGTCCAAAAGTTTAAAAGTCTTCCATGCCAAGCACCAGGTAGTATCAGGGCATTTTTGGCTAACCTGATTTGAAGGACTTTAACTATAAGCTGAAAATGTTTCTATAGATATATTTCTTTTGAATTTGAAACATTGGCTACCCACGTTTTCAGATGGATTCAAGTACTGGCACCGTCCAGAGGTCAAGACGACACAGTCCACCCGCAGCTACTGGAAACCTCCATCAGCCAAGAAGGCCATCGACATCGAGATGACGGCATACGGTCTGCTGATATACGGCGAGAAAAACGATTTCAGCGGTGGCCTGAACATCATGAAGTGGTTGGCGTCACAGCGTAACCCCCACGGCGGATTTTCCTCCACCCAGGTTAGTGTTATACCTACACAATCATGAAGTGGTTGGCGTCACAGCGTAACCCCCACGGCAGATTTTCCTCCACCAGGTTAGTGTTATACCTACACAATCATGAAGTGGTTGGCGTCAGTGGTTGGCGTCCCAGCGTAACCCCCACAGCGGATTTTCCTCCTCTCAGGTTAGTGTTATACCTACACAATCATGAAGTGGTTGGCGTCCCAGCGTAACCCCCACGGCGGATTTTCCTCCACCCAGGTTAGTGTTGTATCTGTACAATCCTTCATCTCACTAGTATAGAGCTATGTTATATGCTTCATCGCAATGGTATGTCGTGTTTTCCAGGACACAGTGTTAGCCCTGCAGGCTCTGTCTGAATTCGCCAAGATGGCGTACTCCAACAACTTCGACATCCAGGTGACAGTGAACAGTGGCAGCTTCAGTCATCAGTTCTCTGTCAACCAGAACAACGCCCTCGTGCTCCAGAGTGTCGAGGTGAGTCCCCTTCCATTTATCACTGACACGCACAAACATGTCATTCTGAACTCTCACACATCAACAAGTATGCAAACATCTCCGCACGATTATCCATCGATGAAAGGAACAATTCTCGACTATTTCAAGCGCTTTCGAGTATACTAAGGCGTTGCTAAATTATCTGAAGTTCAATCTCGGTAATGCGAATTAACTCGTTCGGATTAACAATTGAAGTTAACAAATTATTGGCAGTATCCTTTGTGCATTATCAACGTTCAAGACGGACTATTTGGCTTTCTGGCTTTCACTGTATGAAATATTTCATGTATATTTACATTACATCATCTGTTTCCTCCCCTGCAGCTGCCATCCATCCCAAGCAGCATCAGTGTTCAGGCTAACGGGGCCGGCATCGCCCTTGTTGAGGTGAGTGTCATCATAGGCATGGTACTAAGGTGCAAACGTGAGTGAGTAGAGTTTTTCGCGGTTCCAGCAATGTTCCAATAATATCGCTTCCGGGAACACTTAACATGGCTTCACATGTACGAAAGCTAACCTAGGTTTTCTACGTGACAAGCTGACCTTATATGCATTTTCAATACATCGACCAACACTGTGAATATCATTGTACAGGCACAAGGTAACATCCTCGTTACTTAAAGGGGCGGTGGGGTAGCCTAGTGGTTAAAGCGTTGGCTCGTCACGCCGAAGACCCGGGTTCGATTCCCCACATGGGTACATTGTGTGAAGCCCATTTGTGGTTTCCCCGCCGTGATGTTGCTGTAATATTGCTAAAAGCGGCGTAAAACTAAACTCAGTTACTTAACTGGACGTGGTCGGGCATTCCGCACATTGTCATCATGTTTGAATATAAACATTCCATTTCGAACTGAAATCATTTTCATTTGTATTAGAGATAGTTGAGATACGTCTATATGTATAGTCAGTTGTGTGTTCAGCTAACCCCGATAGCATATTAAAATGAGTGTACCCTCCTTTTTGTCGTTTAGGTCGCTGTGTTCTTCAACGTTGAGGCTGAGGTGGAGGAGCCAACTTTTGATGTGACCGTCAAGCTGCTGAAGGAAGACATCAACTCCATCACAGTCCAGACCTGCACCAAGTGAGTGGGACATACCTAACGTGTGTGTGTGCCTGTCCGTGTGCGCGTGCGTATGTGCAGGACGACCATCATACCTAACATACGTGTGTGTGCGCGCGTGTGTGTGCGTATGTGCGGGACAGCCATCATACCTAACATGCACACATGTGTATGTGCGTGTTCGTGTGTGTGTGCGTGGTTATGTGCGGGACAAATATCACGCCTAACACACATGCATGTGTGAGTGCGTGCGTGCGTGTGTATGTGCGGGACAACTATTATACACATGAGTGCGTGCGTGCGTATGTGCGGGACAGCCATCACACCTAACACGCGTGTGTTTGCGTGCGTGTGTGTGCGCCTGTGTGTGTGTGTGTGTGATTGAAATATAAAAGCCAACGTTGTGGCTGACAAGTTTGACAAGCCAGTGATGCTGAACATCCTTCTACACGTCCAACTGCAGCTAAGAGGTGACTATACATTCGAACGTGCTTACAGTGGGATAGCACTGAGCGATCCATTTATTCATGTGTATCATGTTGCTTCCCCCAGATGGTTGTTAAATGGTACCAGTGGCATGGCCATCCAAGAACTTGGAGTTCCCTCCGGCTTCGATGCTGACCTTGACACACTTACCAAACTTAAGACCTTGAAGAGAATCGAGACTCCCAACAAGAAGGTGGTTCTGTATTTTGATGAGGTGAGATGTTATCTGTCGCCATCGTTTCTCATGGATTTAAGACATTGTACAGGATTACTTGTATTATATTAGTTGAATTTATCCCTACAATTCATATCAGGTGTCTCTATCTGGACTCATTGGTCTAGTTGTTTTAATACCAAACACTATATGTTGAACAATATTTGTATAAAAGAAATCCCAGTAAAATGATACATATTTCGGTGTATTTCTCGATAAGTACAATCCGGATATGAAATGATTTCCAATAATATTCTCAATGATATGATTATATTGTCATACTTGTTATGACAATATCCTACTGTTTGTGTTACTAACTCGACTCTGTCAATGTCACAGATCGGAACCACACCCGTATGTCTGTCCGTCACCCTCCAGAGAACAGGTCTTGTAGCCAAGTCCCAGCCCGTCCCAGTCAGAGTCTACGACTACTATGAGCCAAGTAAGTGTTAACAGTAACATCATTGACATTGAGGCGTGACAACATGTTTAGAGTTACGCCCCTTTGTCGTCCCAGGACCTGCTGAACATTGTTTCCAATCACACTACTGGCGCACTGATAAAATAAATTCTCCATTGTCTTGAACGTCTTTTTAACTTTCCTCGTTCCTTTAGTTCTCCTGCCATGATGTAAATCATAAACTATGAAATAAGGCGTTAAAGCACTCCACTCATCTTCAGCAGTACACAAAGGTAACAAATATACTGTAGTATAAACTGTAAAAACATTCCATCTGTTGCATGTTTAAACATAAATGACCATCAACTGACCATGTTGCGTGCCACATGCTATTTACCAGACAGTAGAATGTGTTCGTTTCCCATTTCAGCCAACCAGGTGACAGCATTCTACCAGTCCCAGCTCCTCAAGAATTCCAACATCTGTAGCGTGTGTGCGGAATGTGAAAACTGCGCGGTGAGTTAGCCGAACACCTTTAATTTGATAAACGACCACAGGCACCATTTACAACTGAATATCACCCGGGCTACGAAACACAGGAATTGATACTAGTATATTGCTTTGGTAGTACACAGGCTAACTGTAGCGCAAATAGAGCTGCGCAACAGAGAGAAAATGACCAGTCTTTCTATATGCGAGAGAAGCACTCGCATGTAGGAAAACTGGTCATTTTCTCATTTTTGCGCAACCCTATTTGCGCTACAATTTGCCTGTGGGCAGTGGTAATGGAGTTATGTAACGATAAACGAATATCACAGACAAAATTCGTGTCACATGTAATATGGTTAACCTTTACTTGTGTGTCGCCCTATTTTTATCATCGATGTGATGCGTCAAAATGATTTCACGGCAGGAATTATTTGATTACTATGACGTCTGTATTCTAGGTCAAGGCCGGGCGATGAAAACACCGATGACCATCCCAACACACGGCAGATCACATCACATTCAGAAACATCAAGAATAAAGAATATCTACTGAACATGTTATCTTTCACCTTCGTATAATAAACTTCCATGTTAAACATACTCTTTGTTTGTACTGATTGTATTTAACGTCCTTGGCATCTGATTGCATATGACGTCAAAAGCCAGACAATGTCTTTGTTTGTACTGATTGCATATGACGTCAAAAGCCAGACAACATCTTTGTTTGTTTGTTGTTTAACGCCATACTCAGCAATATTCCAGCTATATGGCGGCGGTCTGTAAATATTTGAGTCTGGACCAGACGATACAGTGATCATTTGCATGAACATCGATCTACGCAATTGGGATACGATGGGATAGGGAGTCTGTCTTCCATATGCACCAGGCTTTTGTGTTTGGGCGTTTGAATCAAACATGGTGCGGGTTTGTTTGAGCACCCTTGTTTTTCGCTGTTTTTGACATTGTTTCGTTTCACTCAAACTTGTAGTATAATAATAGTCCACTTGTAACGCGCTGAATCCATGCAGAGTTCATGCTCTGAGGGAACATGTCCGAGAGGAGATGAGAGAAGTTACACAGAGAAGGCATGTCTGAACACTAGGAAGGTTTTGAGTTGGGTCTTAAACGATGACAATGATTCGCAGTCTTTCAGGTACTGGGGCAGAGAGTTCCAGGCTTTAACGGCTGAATACGCAAATGACACCTACGAGTATGGTTCTGCAAAACCAAAAGACTATAATCGCTGCGATGTGGTTCGAACTTCAGCACCAACAGGACAAGAAAACAATACTTCACAAGTGAAAAAAGCATACAATTAACATTCCCTCCCGTGATTGCGCATCTTATACTTCCCTATACATTCGTAGATATGGATCATCTCCATCACTATCAAGGTATTGTTGTCATGGAATTCAAGTGATTATTGCCAGTTTGTCTACACCCAACACAACATTTGCACTAGGTAGTTTAATAGAGCATACCTGCCAACATTCACGCATTTCAGGTTAACACTCACATGTTTATTACTGGCGTCACGCTTCCACGACAAAAGTGATAGATCTCATACCAAACAGGGTTCACATTAAAACAAATATATACATCCGTTACAAATCACACAAACAGGTCTGAATACATCGTTTTCAGTGACCTTCTTTCAAAGGGAATTTAGAGTTAGGCTTTGTGTTCTGGGGGCGTCAGGACCCTGCCGGGGAGGGCGGCCCTGTGTTGATTTTACATATTGGGGTTGTACAGGCCCTTGGACCCGGCATCTCAAGCTTTCTTCTCTCTTGAGAATGGATGTTCTGAATAGACATGTCACTGTGACACGAAACATGCGCATGATAGTTCAAACTGTCTGCATGTTAATGATAATCAACTAAACGAGTCTTCCAAATATTTTAACTGTGTTTGTTAGCTTTGTGCGTGTCAACGTGCTGTAGGAGTGACGCAGTGACGCAGGTCGTAGACGATTAGGGTAAACCCACGGTCACTGATACAATTCTACCAAATCAGTTCGAGTGTAAGATGGGGCGGTGGGGTAACCTAGTTGTTAAAGCGTTCGGTCGTCACGCTGAAGACCCGGGTTCGATTCCCCACATGGGTACAATATGTAAAGCCCATTTCTGGTGTCCCCCGCCGCGATGTTGCGGGAATATTGCTAAAAGCGGCGTATAATCATACTCACTCACTCACTCACTTGAAAGTAAGATTCGACCCCATGAGCAAAGTACTTGACTCACCTAACAGAGCACAAAAATGGCGCTGAATTTCACATTTCACGCGTCCAGGAAAATCCTATTGTAAAGAGTCTGTGAAACCACGTCATGTTTTGAATAGATCTTTCAGTAATGGTTAACACCTGGAACTGGTACAACGTCTACCCATCCGAACATAGCCCCTAAGAGTTCTAATACTGCAGAAACAATGAAACATCTTGAAGGAATTGCTGTTTGTTCGTCCTCAATAATATTCCAGCTGTGACATAATACAAGTGAGTGAGTGAGTTTAGTTTTACGCGGCACAGAGCGGGAGATAATACCAAGACGTTGGGGGTTTATTCATGTTCCATAACAGAAGAGCATTGTTGGTCAGTTCCATACACTTTTGGATCATTCAGCAATATCCCAGCTATATGGCGGCGGTCTGTAAATAATCGAGTCTGGACCCGACAATCCAGTGATCAACAGCATGAGCATCGATCTGCGCAATTGGGAACCGATGACATGTGTCAACCAAGTCAGCGAGCCTGACCACCCGATCCCGTTAGTCGCCTGTTGTGACAAGAATGG